ATATTTGGACTATCAAATGCTCACTACCATAAAGCTGGTCGACTTAAATTAAATATTTACTTAACCCCTTGCGCTGGCAACTGATTCGCGGACCATAACGAGCGACCGAACCGTATACAGCAATTCGTCACTTTCTTTTGAACTCGTCGGTACGATATCGCTGGATAGAAATTATTAAGAAGTAACCAACTTATCACTTGTTTTTGGGTTACATTTCAATATACTTAAGAACTGAGAAAATGTTGCAGAAAATTCTCGATGAGGTTAATTTAGAAAGCATTTATTTCTTCTTCTCCGAACGATATCACAGCAACAACGAGCTAAACGTTCTACAGGCTGCTTCTTTCCTTCCCGAATGTTTCGTTTCACGTGTCATGATGAAGTCGATAACATCACGAATGGCTTGCTCCTACCCATAGAAAATGGCCCGGGCCACGCGTTCTGCGCGAAAAAGATATTCTGCGAAATCTTTACGACGCATGAAAGCGACGTTCGAAGAAGCGGCCTTAACGCGGGCAGCTTAACAATACTGGTTTTATCGACGACGATTCCCGGCCGATCCGCTTCAACACGGAATCCCCCTGTTCCGCCAGCCACGAGGAAGTCGATAACATCACGCAAAGGTGAAGGCGCTGAATTAACTAGCTAGGTTAAGGACGAGATTTCAGCTTCTCGAAAGCGGGTCGCTGCAATTTCACCGTGAACCACTAAACCAGTTATGCCGTGAATTTTTCACGTGACAAATGTACTCGTTTTTGTTCCACCGCGGCACGGTCAGTTCCGTCACGATATCGTTCGGTTCAGTTCGGTTCGGGCGCACGGATAAACTTCTGGTTCTGTCATGGTCGAGGGGGAAAACCTCGAATATTTCCCTCACCGAGCCGGTGATTGAACCAGGCGAAGGGAGGAAAACGAGTCGACTTGTTACTTGCTTTGCTAAATTCTCGGACGCGATTTCTTTGCAAGATCAGTCGTTGAAATCAGAAACTCAGCAAAAACGTACTTGTTATATATATATAAAACTTCTTTAGGTAACTTGGTTCGTACAGATAATCCGGGATGCTTAAAATGCAGAAGTTCAAGAGGGATGACATTGAATAAATATTAGTTGCGAACGAGATGTGTGCAAAACTTTGTGTTTTCCTCGGGTATAACATTAATTTAATTAACACGATGTAATTGACTACGAATAAATATTATTGAGCGTTTAGTTGCTGAATTATTGGTAATTGGGGAACCATTTAACACATCAGAAAATATACAATATACATATCTCAAGATGAACTCTTACACGCTCCTCATTCAGAATGAAACTTTCACACTCTTGGCAATTTTTTATTTTTCAATAGCTATATAATAATTAATATAGTAATAAAATATAATAATATATAGTAATAGTAATGTAATTGTATAATATAATATATAGTAACATATAGCTGATACAGTAATATAATGTAATATAATAAAATAAAATTGACTCGAGCGTTGATCTAAAATTTCAATTCCCTAAATATTTTTTGGAATTCCAAATTTCCAAATCCTCGAGCTTCCAAATTCTTTCACATTCTTCACTCTTCAAACTTTCACACACTTGGCAATTTTTTTATTCTTCAATAACTATATAATCGTTAATGTAGTAATATAACATAATAATATATAGCAATAGTAACATAATTATATAATTATACAATATAATAAAATAAAATTGACTGAAGCGTCGATCCAAAATTTCAATTTTCTAAATTTTCTTTTGGACTTCCAAATTTCCAAATCCTCGAGCTTCCAAATTCTTTCACATTCTTCACTCTTCAAACTTTCACACTCTTGGCAATTTTTTTATTTTTCAATAACTATATAATCGTTAATGTAGTAATATAACATAATAATATATAGTAATAGTAATATAATTATATAATTATACAATATAATAAAATAAAATTGACTGAAGCGTCGATCCAAAATTTCAATTTTCTAAATTTTCTTTTGGACTTCCAAATTTCCAAATCCTCGAGCTTCCAAATTCTTTCACATTCTTCACTCTTCAAACTTTCACATTCTTGGCAATTTTTTATTTTTCAATAACTATATAATATAGTAATAGTTAGTAGTAATATAATATAATAATATATGATAATAGTTATATAATTATATAATATATAATAATAGTAATATAATTATATAATATATAGTAATATACTAATATAATTATATAATATAATAAAATAAAATTGACTCAAGCGTTGATCCAAAATTTCAATTCTCTCAAATCGCCTTTTGGACTTTCAAATTTTTAAATCCTCGAGCTTCCAAATGTCGCGGTTGCACGTATTCTTTGTTCGATTTACTTCACCGTTCCGTTCTCGAAGGATCGAAGGAGATTGACTTGTCTTTATTACTTTTTAATCCTCGTCATCAATTATTGGTACAGTTGTCTTCCGAAGGAACGACGCAGTTAATAGGTTAACGTTACTCTGATACGAAATAACCTATCGGCCACGAATCTATTGGCTTTTCACGTCGTCGAGCCTCGTGTTCGAGGCGCAATTTCCTTCCATGATTTCCGCTAGTTATCCACGAGTTGTCTGGTTTCTCGAAAGAGAGACAACGAAACGGCCAATCATCGTACTTATCAGCGATCATTGTCGATCGACTGGGTGAACGCACGGGATGCAATAGAAATAGAAACGAACGAACCATCGATCTCGCGGCACGGAGGAAGTCTGGGATCGCAGGTGTAGCTTCCTGTGTAACTTTCCAACTTATTGGCCAGTCCGGCTTGAAAACTTCGTGCACCGAGTTTGGAAAGTGAGGAAAGAACCGGTAAGGGAAGAAATATCGCTCGAAATACGATTTCTCTTGCTTCCTTCGTACGATTTTCCGACGTCGCGTGGGATTAATTAGTTACTGGTATTAGTAAAGACTTACGCCGTCGTAACTTTTTACTTTTTCTTCGTCACAGTATAATCTTTATCTTAGATTCTCAAAAGATTCTTTGATGTTCTTACGGAACTGAGTATAAATTGTCTGTTCCGTGTGTAAACTTCCAAGTGCAGCACTTCTCTCGATAAAAATTCCACGGGAAACAGACATTTTGTTTATGTCATGCAAAATACACGATAAATTCAAACAGAACTTTTTCTGAAAACCGAAAGAACCTGTTAATTTCGATCTCTGAAGTTGAAATTAACAGCAATCGTTGCAAGCTCACTTTAAATTTAAACAGTTTCCCACTATTATTTAAATAGTTTCCCAGAAACGCAGCACACGACCTCGATAAATATTAATGAAACTCTAATCTAATCTGTGATCTCCTCTTTCAATTGATTTAAAGTCAGTCCTCTGTACCGTGTATTAAAGATCACATTCATAGTTCAAGCACTACGTATGGAGGAACGTTGCCAGAATAAATTTATCATTTACTCCGTGCAAGATCTTTAAACGAAGAAAGCGACGAATAAAGGTCTATTTCCCTCCTGGGATTTTTAACCTCTTGCGCTGGCAACTGACTGCGGACCATAACGAGTGACCGAACCGTATACAGCAATTCGTCGCTTTCTTTTCCTTTTGAACTCGTCGGTATGATATCACTGGTAAATATACTTAAAATTTAGAAAATGTTGCATATTCTGGGAGAAAAAATTCTCGACGTGTGTGGCACGTCATTAGTCATTCGATTTTTTCTTTTTTTTTTTTTTTGCATATTCTTAAAGGACATAGTTTCAAAAATAAATCTCTGTAACCTTACATGTGAACTCCTAAAATTAACTAAAGTTAATGACGATCAGCGTCATTGTTACCGCAATACTAAATTTTAAAGGTATTTTTCTGGAAACTATGTTTTTCAGAACGGTGTCCATGATATCACAAAATCTATTTGACCAATTGATACAAAATTTTAAGTACGCATTTAGTACATGTGTGACTATAGCCCCTACCGGAATCAACCAAAAAATTTTATTTTTTATATTTTTTTAGGTAGAAGTTTAACAAAAACATGCAAAAATCGATAATCGAACTTCACAGTATCGTCACTTTTTCAATTATCGACTTTTTTCTTTTGTTTTGGTACCTGTTATAGCCAAATTCATACTAATTAAGGAACGTTCAAATTTGTTTATTTCCGGCAAGCAGAATGACCGGAACCGTGAGACGACCTTTTTTAAAAGCGACTATGTTTGAGATTATGCAATGCCACTAATTTTAACTATTTTTGTCCCAAAAAATTTTGAAACGTCGTTGAAATACGTAGAAATAAACCTTGTCAATTTGACTGCAAAGGGTATAATAGTTCCTTTGCAAAAAATTCCCTAACAAAGTTCAAACAAACACGCACTTCACACTAGGATACCCCCTTGAAGCGCACAATCTCGACAAATATTAATGAACGTTAATCTCCGACATCTAATCACTGTAATCACTGTTCGAAATTGATTTCAGATCAATCTTCCGTCAGCGTGCATGAAAAATCACACGTTGCCCGTTGTTCGAGCATGTACGGATAGACGTTCTCGTGCCGGTTTGTCATTTGTCCGCAATGATCCTCGAGCGTTCGCAGACGAACAAAGGCCAAAGGAAATGCAATTTTCGAATAAACACGCACGGCAATCTATAGCAAATCTCGAGAATCTAGAACGCAGCCGAAGTGAATATTTCAAGTCACGTCTCTCAAGGAATGTCTCGCGCGCCCCGACTTTTTCGTTCCGTTCGATGGAATCTTTTTTCATTTCCTTTCTCCCCGACTCGCGCGCCCACCACCCCCAACCCTAACCCCTACATCCTTGTGCTAACAGATGGTTAACGCCTGTCGGTGCTCGCAAGCGCTAACGCGAATTTCAATTTCAACCTGGCGAGAATGCCAATGGACATTCCCCGTGATTTGAAGAAATCTCAATTGAGATGGTCTCGAAGGAGGGAAATTTTGTGAAGTCAACTACCCGTCGACAAGTGCGAGTCAAGTTGGAGAGAAGAAGGAAAAAAGAAGAGAGGGAACGAGATCTTACCTTAACGTGAGATATGTGGCTGGTCGCAATGGACAAGGCAGGCTGTTGCTATTCGTTGTGCAGGTTTTTTTCTTCAACTTTCACGGACTCTCATCTTCCTGCTTACCACTTCTCCGTTCGCTTTCCCGAGCAAAGGGTCCCTTCAGTGGCTCGCGTATCGCTTTCAGCGTCGACCGGTGGAAACTGTCATCTAGAAACAGAAAAAAAGAAAAGAAGAAATGTCAGATGTCTGGATGTAACGTCGTTTAACCTCTTGCGCTGGAATTTCAAAATTTATATTACCATTTTCTTTTTTTTTAATTACCTTTCTTTTAAATTAGATTAATTTCCGATATTGAAATTACTTTTATCAATTCCTATAATTTTACATTTAACATACATAAATTTTTATTGTATACTAAACATAATTTTATCATTTATATTTATGTAATTTACATAATTTTATTATTTATATTTATGTAATTTACATAATTTTATCATTTATATTTATGCAATTCACATAATTTTATTATTTATATTTATGTAATTCACATAATTTTATCATTTATATTTATGCAATTTACATAATTTTATTATTTATATTTATACAATTTACATAATTTTATTATTTATATTTATATAATTCACATAATTTTATTATTTACCTTTATGTAATTTACATAATTTTATTATTTATATTTATACAATTTACATAATTTTATTATTTATATTTATTATTTACATTAATTATAGAATGAACAGTAGGATGTTCACATTGAGTATTTATTTAATTAAACAAGAATCATAATGATCAATTGATTTCCAAAGTACTTGCATTTGATCGGAAAACTCTTTGGCTTTGAAGTATTTGTATATAATACGATATTACATTTTAAAGATTCTTCAGACTTATAAACTGATGGAGACGTAACGTAAGGAATGTAATAGCTGCCGCGTCGTTTATTCGATAAAATTCACATGTTGTTGTTGTTATCACGAGTCGAACGAAGTTTTAGGATAGATTCGAAGCGATAGTGTTGAATTGGTACGGTTTCAGAACACAGGCGGTGCTAAGTCGAGCCAGCTTTCTTGGAATTGCCACTGACCAGCAGCCATCGGGGTGTTGCCAGCAACGTTAGTAACAACCAACGTTCAACCTTGGCCCCGTGGCCCGATTCGTGCATACTCTACTGCTGAACTATCATCCTAGCTGTCGTTACGTCTTTCTAACTTAAAGGATTATTATGAATAATAAGTCGACGCTTTCTCTAATTTTCTCTTTTTCTTTTTGTTTTTCAATCGTTCGGCCATCTCGAATGATCTGTCTTCTCTCTCTCTCTTTTTTTTCACAGACAGCTAGGGATAATTGTCTTTCGGCAGAGTTGCAAGTTCGTCGAATAATCGCTCTGTCGGACGAGCTATTTCACTGAGCTGAGCTCGGGTCAAACAAAAACAGGGACGCCTTTTAGTTTAGCTTTCCGGGTTGCATCGAGAGCTCCATTCAAAAAGCCTGGCAAAAAATTTGTCGAAGTTTTTTTCATTATCCTAAATCTCTGAGAAGTCACTACTCTGAGAGGGGAGACTTTGTCCGTGGGAACGAAACTTTCTGAGAACGTTGGTAAAATAGAAAAAGAACTCGGATTATTATTACGAGATCTGACGTAAATTCGGGTAAAATCGAAATTGAATTAATTTGGTGTCGAAAATATCGGTTAAATTTCAACTTGTCTGGAAATATCTCTTGTGATTTATAGAAAAGTTCTTAGGCGAAAGTTACATTTAAAATTACACAATAGTTCTTAAAGTTATATTTAAAATTATACAATACTGCTACCTCTAAGAAAATGCTGATGATTTCAAAATCTCAAAGAAAAGAGGTAAGTTTCAGATAACATTTAGAGTTCTTTCACACAGCGAATTTTTGTCCTCGAGATTTCTTTCGTAAAAATAACGAAGATATACAGAGCGATTCACACAGCTTGCACACTTTTAAATAATTTTAAAATTATGCATTGGCTAATGAAAAATTATTTAATACAAATCCCGATAATTTGATAAACTACATTCAAAGCTTCAATTTCAATTTTTTAACATCAACTACACATCTTGAACTGACAATTGTAACAGCATTTCAATTGCTTCGCCCTTTCAGCAAATAAAATTATTTCGCAATAATTCAACTATTCAATTAGAAAAAAAATGTCCTTTGTTTTTTCAGAAAGCTTCTCAATTATTTACTACAACGTTCAGACGGCAACGTGAATCTTTTATCAGACATTTTCATCGCAAAAAGAAAAAGGCGACGTAAAAAGCGATTGTCCGCATCTATTCGCAAATAATAATTTATTTATTGGCCAGTTTAAACGGACGGACGTGTAAAACGCGTACTCGACATGACGACGGCGACAGCATCGGTGTTGAAGTCGGCGTCGACGTCGACGTGTCACAAGCACGTGAATATTAAACGATGAACAACAGAGTCACGGAACACCGTGGCGTATTAACGTCGGCCTAACGTGTTCGCGTAGGAAATGTCGCGTGTAACAGAACCATATGCGTTTACGCCGCTAAAGAGCCTCGGGACTCGGAGCCTCACTGGCTGATCTATGGTTGACGTTCATCCCTGCGAATTACCGTATTTCAGAATATACTTTTAATACGTATGTACATTGTGAATATAGTAGAGAAACGTATTCGTATCTTTCGCTTGTTTATCAATCATAACTCGTCAATATATTTATAATAACGTTTTATATATTTTATAATGTTCATCCCGAAGAATTTGTGTTTTTTCACCGTTTATTAATTATAGAATATATTCTTCATATATACGTTATAGCGTTCAAAGGGTTTTGAACTTTTCACTTTTGTTAATTACAGAGTATATTATTAATATATATGTTATAAAATAGGATTTCAATAGAAATTCGTCCTTAAGAATTCGTACTTTTCACTATTTATTAATTATATTTTTAATATATGTTATATTTCTTAGAATATATTTTTAATATATGTTATATTTCTTAGAATATATTTTTAATATATGTTATATTTCTTAGAATATATTTTTAATATATGTTATATTTCTTAGAATATATTTTTAATATATGTTATATTTCTTAGAATATATTTTTAATATATGTTATATTTCTTAGAATATATTTTTAATATATGTTATATTTCTTAGAATATATTTTTAATATATATATATATTCTAAGAAATATAACATATATTAAAAATATAATTAATAAATAGTGAAAAGTACGAATATATATATATATATATATATATATATATATATATATATATAATAAAATTATAAAATAAAAATGTTCGAACAGACTTCAATCAATTTCATGTGACAGATCGTCGTTTTTTTTTGTTAAACAACACCACCATATTCTAGCACGCTATATTACATAAACATAGACTTATAAATGCTTTATTACAAATAAATAAATACAATTTGCAACAGAAATATGAAGCAACAAATCGGATTGATCATATTTGTCCTAATACTATCTTAAAATAAACAACACTACAATAGCCTGAAGATTGAATTGACGAAAAATTCAATCAACAGATTAAATGTCAATTGCTATTTCGTATTTTTATTGTAACATTTGTAATAAAGCATTTGTATAATCAATTTATATAATTACACGATATCTTCTATTACTAGTTTCAACGATAGAACGTACCGATGCCGTTTAGTAAGAAAAATCTGGGACACCTTGCACATTATTTCTTTTTACGAGATTCTGTCATCGAAATTCTGTTAATCTACGTAAACGAATTAGAAACGTTTGTGAGGGAAAGCATCGAGTTGCCCGTCCGCTACGGAATAAGGTTAACGTGTCAGGTATAAAGTAAGTTGCACAGTTATTTCCGCGAACAACCGCACGAACTGTAGCGTAATAAACATAAACACACGTTTATAAGTTCCCCGCAAAAAGTAATTGAAATGATTGCTACTTATAGGCGGCTAGAAGTTTCTCGCTCCGCTGATATGATATTTGCATCCCCATCTCCCCTTGCTGAATCACCAAACTGCTGTACTTAAAAACTATGAGTGTACAAATGTAGGAGAGCATGTAACAAATAAATAATAAATAGACTATCGTCCTACCCGGAGTTTAATCGATGAAAACTTTTCGTTTTATACGATCAATTAGTATCTATGAAATTAATGAAATTTTTGAGATCAATGAAATTATTCGTCGAAGATTAAAATATTAGCGAGCTATGGTTCTACCCAGAGTTTAATCGATTAAAATTTTCAGTCTGATTGACTCAATCGACAAACAAAATTAATTTGTTTTCAATCGTTGATCAAGCGAAATTAATCGTCGAAAAATCGACTAAGAGCGACTTGTCGATTTTCATTTGTCAATTATTATTGATCTCAATTAAATTGAAGTTGTAACGAAACTTCGACGCAAAGCACGTTTCTGGATTGACTCGTACGTCCAATTAAAGACGTAGTTTTGAACTCTTTCAAAATTTGTTGAATAAATATTAATAGGAAACATTATTTCGTTACGTTAGGCATCGATATTACTTCACAATATGTTCACGGACTTACTTATTATTCCAAAGTGTCTCAAAAAAGAAAACAAGGTTAATTGTTAATGTGGTTAATCCGACTGACAATTAAAATTGAAAGAAATTTAATTAATTATACAATAATGTACAATATGTAACAATAATTATCGTTATATAATAAGAGTCAATTCTTCGATTCAATCATTATTAAATGAGGTTGGAACGTGATCGTCAGTCGCGATTAATTTTTCGCCAAACTCCGGCCTAACGAAGATACTGCATCGTACCGCGAAGCTTTCACAAAAAACGACACGTTACGATGGCTCGATGAAATTACGCGGCCGAAAGGAGAACTGTTGAGCATCGATCGAGCATGCTATTTCTGTACAAGCTGTCCCTTTTTTCTTCGTAATAACGAGGAATAATGCTGTGAAAAAACGATTCGTCTAGACGTTCGGTTTCGTGTCATTGAATTTTGAAGACGTCGTTGAACAACGCGTGAAAAATCAATCGTTCCCCCCGGTTTTTCATTGAAATTTCGTTTGCCGCGTGTTGCCGATCGATGCTCGGCGAGATCGGTAGAAACATGCACTGGCAGAGGAAACGCATACGCACTATGCGACAGTTTTGTACCTTGGCACCGTTTCCCTCGTCGCGATATACAC